TGCAAGGATAATGAGCAGGCGCACAAGCACCACTGTTTAATGACGCTCAGCAATGTCACTCGATGTCTCTAACTATCGGTTTCACTAATACCAAGACGCCTAGCCAGTAGGTCCATTGTTTCGAGGTGCCGGAACTGTGCAGACAGATATCCGATTTCCCTGTTCAATGGTAAGGGTCCATTATTAGACGATGAAGTCAAAGCGTTTTACGACACCACAGGAAGACTCGTAACTAAAACAGCACGCTTTAATCGTGAATGAGGTAAAATCGGAAGATGAATTCTGCATAGTATGCAGTAGAGAAGAGTGTAAATATGGGAGAAAGAATGTGACACTGACCTGAGCCGAATTGCCTTTCACATTTTCCACGGCTCTGTTTCAATGCCTTGTTATTTCTACAAAGTAACCCTAAGAGTAATTGCTGCTGACTACCATTTTAGTAAACGCTTTCTCTATCCACTCCAGGATCACAGTACCGAGCCACTTCCGAATGCGACCGTATGCGATATGTTTTGACAATCGAAAAGCCACTTATGGAGAGAAGTACGTATCCATGGTGGTCGACATTGATGTCAACTGGGAGAATCCATCGGAATCTGAAAAGAAAGTCCTGGACTATTTGCGCAACCGCGCTTTCTCCGGTATGCAGATTCCACCTATGAAGCGCGAGTACATCGAGGGTTGGAGGGCCATTGATGTGAGTGAAACAAGTAGCCTGTTTACACACTTTTTTTTTGCTCGCACACCTTGTAAATGTCATTTGGTACAGGTTTTTCTTTGTATCATTACATGTGATCGTAACGTAGACATAAAAACACTCTTCAACTGTAATCTATCGGTTCAAAACCCCGTGTTAACTATGTGTGTATATTATATAATTTCGTATATATTCTTCTAACCGAGTCTACGGAAATTGTCGGGGATACTTTTATGTATTGTATGTCTGTGGGTTGTAGGTGTGTGTTACTCTGCAGCTATCCTGGTCATAGAGGGGTGGGGTGGGGTTCCCATAAAAACCGGGGTTCAAGGCGGTAGGACGAAATTCAGAGTACGCAATCCATTCTGAAACTGTTTAGTTCATCAGACTACACGTCTTCTGTGCAGAATCCAACTTCCAGGACTTGTGATCTTCCATATCTAATTCAAGTTCGTGTCCATCACCAAAATCTAGTGAATACGCTTCGTCTTAGTTGGTTCGGAATCCGGGTTTATGACCAGCTCCCCTCGGTGAATTACCGGTGGGTTATCCACCCGGTAAAAAAACCTGATGTTGACTTTCGTTTTCATTTAGTGTGAAACACCACATGAAGTTAGGGACTAGGGCATCTCCAGCGGAGGCTAATTGAGACGATAGGAGGGTGACAAGTCATAACCCCTAACAGTTCTGAGGCTTTCGGAAACAAGGGTTACTTTTGTAACAGGTGATGAGAAGAGAGTGATGCGTCATCATAGAGGCGAGAATACTGCCTACAACTATCAAATTTCCATTTTCTTTCGGTGTTCATTTCAAGCAGTTTATTACTGCTGTTATTCACAACTGGTATTTTTTGTTGCATCCTTGGTGATTTTTGGTTTAATCTGAAATATATTTCAGTGTTGTGATAACTTCTGTTAGTGGTTTTCGGTTTTCGTGTATACTGGTTTTTGTTTAGAATGGTTTACATAAAGGCATATGTTAACAGGTCCTCGTGCCTATGGGTTTCACTCCTTTTGCTGCCTCTCGCATACGCGACCTTTCAGTTTCAAGGAAACATCATGTCTGCACCAAAGGTGTTCCATCCTGCGTAAGCTGCCCGAGCCTTGGAAATGCGGGCGATTACTTCCTTGACTACGCTACCGTCATCACGGGACTACCTAAGTAGGTTAAACAGTCCACTGTAACTAAGTCTTGATCGTTAAGCATCAGAGCCGGGGTAGACACCAACGTCTTATCAAGAACGCTTTGCGCATCCTCCATACATTCAAACAGACAAACAAAGTCGACGTACTCCAAATCGCACAACTCTTCTCCAGCTGTCCATTCAATACCAGCACTTTGGAGACCACTAAGTGCGTTCTCCCGCATTTTGTCTCCGAAAAAATTGAACAGGAAGGGCGAAATAGGGTGACCTTGACGAACATCGCTCCTGGTTTCAAATGATTTGCTCAACCCACCGTAGACTCTTACGTTACTCGAAGTATGCAGGTACAGTGATCGTAACATTATGTTAGTATGTAGACATATTTCGGCGGTATTCTCTTTCGAACCAGTGAGCTTATTAAGGATTCACGACTAACTGAATCTAAGACTTTTTGGGGGTCAAGGAACACTACGATTGATGATGAAAGATATTTTTTGGCCCGAGGACCTGACAATGGGTAAAGATTTGGTCGATGCAACCGTGACCTTATCGGAATCCTGTTTGCTGTTCGCCAGTATTCACCTCCCTTTCGGGTGTCAGGCAGCGAAGTATCACGGGAGCTAACACTTTTGTTCAGTTCAGTTCAGTTCAGTTTGTACAACCATTAACCACGCATATTCGTGCGCCGGTTTTGGTTGCTGTCTTTTGGCTGCCCATTTGGATGAATAATAGAAGAAAGGAAAGTTGATAGTGGAGTCGAACAGATAATGGGGAAGTTCAGTGGTCTAAGGTTGCAAAGAAATTGAGAAGATGCACGAATGCCACTGTTTACGACACCCATCCATAGCACTCAGTGTCTCTAACCATGGGTTACGATCATCCCGAGGTCCCCAGCCAGGGAGCCTAACAGGACCTATGTGTCTCCTGGTTAGGGTTTTCATACCGTCGTGCCAGGTCTTGGGTTGACCACCCTTGGCTTTTTTCCACTCGGTGTCTGCGTCGGCGAACATCGCTCACCGTGGTAACCTATCTGGTGACATGCGTAACACATGTCCCAACCAACTTAATCTATGGAGGTCGATCACTTGCTCCAGTGGGCGACAGCGGATACCCAAAACTCTGCGCCTCACCTCAGCATTGCTCATCCGGCTACCCCACCAGACTCGTGCAATGCTGCGTAGACAGCGGTGTTTAAACGTCGACAGTCTGATTTTGTCCTGTTTTCTTAATGGTCAAGTTTCTGCACCGTATAGAAGGACTGGCTGAACTGTCGCGGCATACACTCGACCCTTCACAGACAGCCGGATGTCGCGA